CCAGCCTCTCGGTGGGGCTCCCTCCTCCACCTCCCGCCGTCTCCAGGATGGATGTGGAGAGAAGGAAAGTTAAGCGCGCAGTCCCGCATCTCGCGTTTTATATCCCCTCTTTGTAAACAAAAGGCTCGATTTCCGTGAAGGCCTCGGCATGCTGAAGCTACAGAACAATACATTTTAGAATGCAAGCGGGCTGGAGCTTCTGTGCCTTCCATGAATTCATAATCCGCGATCACACAGGACTCGGCCTCAAATCACGCTGTGCCTGTGTCTGGGCCTCCGGAGATAGAAATTTAAGTAAAAGTCTGCCTGCTCTGTGCTTTACACCCTGCAGGACAGAGCTGAAACTCACATAACCTGGAAGTTGGTGCCACACTCAATCCATGGTCAAACAGCCTCAGCTGTGCCCTCAGCGCCACCCAGTAATCCTTTTTCCTGAACAACTTTCTCTCCAAAAGGTTGAGCACACTTCCCAAGTCATCGGCCCCACTTCTGTCCTCTGCTTGCGCAAAAGACCTTGCCTCTTACTCCACAGAGAAAATGGAAGCCATTCCTTGTGAAGCTAATGCTACCTCTATTTCCCACCCCTTTGTAACTGCACTCACCTCCCTTCAATGAGCGCCTAAGGAATTTCATTTCACCCTTGATCTGATCACCCTTCAGGGAACTCTTTTCAAGGTACCTATAGACTCTCCTTTCCCTCCTCACCCAGTGCCAGGCTTGGTAGTCAACACTACGGCATTGTTTAAGTCCTCCATCCTTGCAGTCCCCTCTGGCTACATTTTCACAACACACCCAAACCGTCATAAATTACTAGCTGCTAGGACACCCCATAACCTACTGGTTAGGGGATCCTCAGCTCACATGGCTGACTGAAGTTTGAGTCCAGCCCAGGTGACTTGAAAAACATAAGGAAGGGTGTATAAGCATGTCCAAAATCTTGACAGGATGAAGAAAAGGAAAAATGGATTCCAGCATGACCAAGTTCTATGATGAGGGGGGGGGGTCTTTCTCTCTCTCTCTCTCACACACCCACATACACACAGCCTCTGACAATTAAAAATATATATATACCAGCTGCATTTCTCTATTTCTGCTTTACTCATAAGCTCACTTTGCCCTCACAGTTCACTGGAATTGTGCTTACTGCTGTTACTGACAAAATAAGTCTGGCTGCTGCTTCTCCTAGATAATAAAAGGAGAGGCTGAGTTTAGAGAAGAAGGGAGTTTATTTTTGTATCTGGGTTACTGAGAGACAGGCAGCAAGCACTATCGAACTGTCTGGAAAAGCTCAACCTAGTCTCAGTATTTATAGATACAAGCTACAAGCCTCTGCAGATCATTCCTCACTATAATCAATCAAAGTCAGTTGCTTTCCTTTGAGCAATTAACCTGATCCCTGTTTTACTTCAAATACCCATTCCTGTTTTCTCATCTGACCATTCCTCAAGCAGACCTTTAACTCAGCACTTGGTCAAATTGTTCTCATTAGAGGCCTTTCTTAATTTCTGCATGGCTGCAGTCCTGCTAAGCCTCAGGCTGGCCTGCCTCACCAGGGTGGGCACCTTTTTAATCAACAAACACAATTAACTTCTTTCAGTCAGTCTTTATTGTACTTGATCTTTAAGAGCATCTAACTACCTTGACCATTTCATTCTTTATGTTTTTATGTCTTTTGCCCTCCTCACCTCTTCCCACCTTCCCTCCTTTGCTAGCTGCCTCGCTTCAGGAATTGTGTTCAACAAGGAAGACTATTTTTTTCCTTGATCGTCCTCTCGGCTCCATGTTCTTCCTGAATAACCTAATCTGCTTTCATGGTTTCATGGATGTTCTTTACTATCAGATTTATATCTACAATTTATTATACCAGAAAGAGAACTACAGGAAACAAATTGAGATGATAGGAAATTGACCCTGTCATTTCTCCTGAACGCAACTTTTTTGTTGTTACTCCTGATTTCTGTGAATAATAAGACCACTATACACTCTGTCAACCTGAAAAGGAGGGCAGAGGCAAAGTAAAGCAAAAAGGGTTTTTTGGGGCCAGGTTTAGGACAGTTGTCTGGATGCCACAAAATCCAAGTCACCCTGGATAATGCTTGCCAGGGTTACAGATTTTAGGGTGATTTATTTTTCAGAGAGAGATTTTTGCTATAGGGCATGTGTGCTCACCAGAGAGATGTAGTGACAGAAACCAAGAAATCACCCCCCCTCAGGGGGTGGCCAGGGCACAATCTCTTCTTCATTCTCTTCTTGGGATTTTGGGGATGCACATACACATCCCCAGCATGAATCTCAAGCCACGGGTCTAGGACTAGAATACGGTTGGCCATGTGGGTGTCCAGTGCCTTAACCACCATGCCACCTGCTGGTTCCAGGTTGTAAAGTGACTTTAAAGGCAAAAATTGAGACTAAGAAGAGGGAATAAGTAATCATTAGTCAAAGCTTTACATGGATTAACCCTATAGCAAGAAGTCTTGTACAGCAGTGACTGGCTATTCAAATAGTGTCAAGTTCAGTGACAAGGAGAGCAGGACACCCTCACAGTGGTTCGGGATCATCAAGGGAGTCAATGAGTCCAGTACTTACATTGTCGTAACTAAGAGTAAGGATGGGAACCAGCAGTTAGCGTAATGGCTATGTCGCTGGACTCCCACGTAGTCGACTGTGGTTCGCGTCCCGGACCCGGTGGGTTAGGACTCACGCCGGGCGCGTGTACATGCGTGCCCAAGATCCCGAGAGGAGAATGGAGGAGAAGGGATTGCGGCGTGACCATCCCCCCTGGGGGGTGATTTCTTGCTTTCTGTCTCTATGTCTCTCTCTGTCTGGCGAGCGCACGCACCCTATAGTGAAAACCTCTCCAAAAAAAAAGAGTAAGGAAAGAATTTACTTGGGCTGTAAGGATGTCCATAACCTAAAAAGTCCAATAAGTATTGGTAGTATTTTGAACCCTTTTAGGCACCTTATCTCAACCGTCCAATGCAAAGGGAGCATGTGTCCAGAGTGCACATTCCAGGTTGCTGACCTTCTGCATACCTGAGTTCTATTCCCTTAACAGCCTCTTGGCTCCATTTTGGAGCACCTGGGCCCTTTATTTAGGTTTTGTTTTGTTTTGTTTTTCATTTTACAATTCAGTGGCCCAAACCAGACATCACTGAATCATCATACTAAGTTTTTTCCTTTTCCCACACCTCTCACATTAGTTCAATCCTGAAAATCTGTGTTTCTCAAATTAAAGTTAGCAGATATAAATGGGGAGTCTATGAATGCCTTAGGATAGCTTTAAAATGTTTGTTTCATGACCTAGTGTGGTACATGCTGCTAATACACTGTGCTTCGTAGGCCAGGACCATATGGGAAGCTTGAGTTCAATTCCCAGTCCAACCTAAAGAGCCACAGCACCTGTCTAATCCCAGTGGCCCTGAAAGCTGAGCCAGGAGGATCACAAGTTTGAGGCTGGTCTACACAACATATCAAGCCCCTATCTAGAAAAGAACTAGGCATAGCAATGCAACTTCTAGTCCCAATTGGTAGACTAAGGCAGGAGGTTCACAACATGGCACGATCCTGTATTTAAAAAAAAGGAAAAAATGTTATGTGTCTGTGACTTATATACATATAAACATATACATGTTTATTTATAAACATATAAAAACATAAATATATATAAACATATTCTAGTTCATCTGCATGATTCCCTGAAATGGGATACTGCCCCTAGGCCTCAGGGTTCGTATTTGCCTTTGTGATTATGATTACCATAGCACCAAATATCAATACCATTGCTTTTATTGCCTTGGGCTAATGAGAAAGAGTAACCTAAAGGTCAGCAGTTGGCATGAAGTTTAAGGAGGCTGGATCCCATGTAGCTGATGGTGCAGTTTGAGTCTTAAAACTGGAGGCTAGAAAAACATACCAGGTGACTGTGCACATGTGCCCCCAAATTCTAAAATCCCAAGAGGAGAATGGAGGAGAAGGGATTGCAACACGGCATCCCCGCTGTATGTGTGGGGGGGGGGGGGGGGGCTATCATTTCTACTGTACATGCATGCCCAAGATCCCGAGAGGAGAATGGAGGAGAAGGGATTGCGGCGTGACCATCCCCCCTGGGGGGTGATTTCTTGCTTTCTGTCTCTATGTCTCTCTCTGTCTGGCGAGCGCACGCACCCTATAGTGAAAACCTCTCCAAAAAAAAAGAGTAAGGAAAGAATTTACTTGGGCTGTAAGGATGTCCATAACCTAAAAAGTCCAATAAGTATTGGTAGTATTTTGAACCCTTTTAGGCACCTTATCTCAACCGTCCAATGCAAAGGGAGCATGTGTCCAGAGTGCACATTCCAGGTTGCTGACCTTCTGCATACCTGAGTTCTATTCCCTTAACAGCCTCTTGGCTCCATTTTGGAGCACCTGGGCCCTTTATTTAGGTTTTGTTTTGTTTTGTTTTTCATTTTACAATTCAGTGGCCCAAACCAGACATCACTGAATCATCATACTAAGTTTTTTCCTTTTCCCACACCTCTCACATTAGTTCAATCCTGAAAATCTGTGTTTCTCAAATTAAAGTTAGCAGATATAAATGGGGAGTCTATGAATGCCTTAGGATAGCTTTAAAATGTTTGTTTCATGACCTAGTGTGGTACATGCTGCTAATACACTGTGCTTCGTAGGCCAGGACCATATGGGAAGCTTGAGTTCAATTCCCAGTCCAACCTAAAGAGCCACAGCACCTGTCTAATCCCAGTGGCCCTGAAAGCTGAGCCAGGAGGATCACAAGTTTGAGGCTGGTCTACACAACATATCAAGCCCCTATCTAGAAAAGAACTAGGCATAGCAATGCAACTTCTAGTCCCAATTGGTAGACTAAGGCAGGAGGTTCACAACATGGCACGATCCTGTATTTAAAAAAAAGGAAAAAATGTTATGTGTCTGTGAT